CCGCTGTGGCGGGTGCGAGCAAGCCGTTGGTAGGAGGGGAGGCGGCCGGTGTCGGCGGCGAGCGCGCCGCCCGCTGTGCGAGTGCGCAGCCGTCGCTCGGCAGCGTGCACGTCCGCCAGCAGCAGCAGCAGCAGCAGCAGCAGCAGCAGCAGCAGCAGCAGCAGGAAGAGGAACAACATGAGCAGCAGCAGCAGCAGCAGCAGGAGGAGGAACAGCGATCGCGGCAGGCGACGCCGGCGACTGCGGATGGCCCCGAAGCTGGGACCGCGGCGCCGCCGGCGGGCGCACACGCTCAACCCCCGGGCCCCAGCGCAGCGAACGCGCCTGAGCCCGCGGCCGCAGCAGAGCCAGAGGCCCCTCCTGAGGCCAGGCCTGAGGACGTGGCGCGCGCCAGGCGGCTGCTGGGCGAGCTGGTGGCGGCGACGCGGGGCGCGGCGCTGGGCGCGCTCGAGGCGCTGCACGCACGGCTGAGCCGGGCGGTGGCGGCGGGGCTGGGGGAGGGCGACCGCGGGGCGGTGCTTGCGGCGGTGGAGGGCGAGCTGCGGGCGGCGCAGGCCGAGGCCGGCGGGTGAGGCGCGCCCCGCGGCCGCGGTCAACCGCGGGTGAAGGGGCGGTGCGATATGTCGCCTACTCTAACGTCTGTGGGCGTACCCTCAGCGTCCCTGGACACACCCTAGCTGTGTCTCCCAAGTCAGTGCCCCACTGAGATTGAACAACACGACGGATTCACCTCACCTCGTCGCAGGTGCATTGACAAGCACCAGGAGGCCGGCAGGCAGGTGGAGGCGGACAGCAAGGCGATGGAGGCGGCGCGTGAGGCGGAGGCGGCTGCGCGCACGCGCGCCAGGGAGGCGCGGGATATGGATGAGGGGGCAGGAGGCCCCGGTGCTGGCCGCGCGTTTAGGAGTTTTGCTCTGCCCGCATGCCTGGCGGGGACGCTTGGGGAGTAGTGTAATCCCCATGGGGCTGTCTGCAGACAGAGTCGTCGGGCTACACGGTCGGGGGCCGCGCGCCGATGCGATGTGATTTCGGGAGGGTGGCTGGTGGAATGGGGCGCTTGGGGTAGGGGGCATGTGGGGCAGGGGGTGCGAGGCGAGCGCGTGTGTCGGGGGATGTCATGAGCGGGGTCAAGTGGGTGCTGCGGGGTCTGGCATAGACGCGGCCCGCAGCTCAGACAGTGGGATGCAAGTGTCCATGCAGTAAATTCCGGGTGTGGGCGAGTGACAGATCTGGTGGTGGGCTGTGGGAAGACGGCGCAGTGTATGCACAACAGCGCTGTCACCCAGGGCCAGCCCGCGCCGTGTCCCGGCAGCATTGAAGCACTGTTGAGTTGTATGCGCGCATGCATCTGTCTGGGCTGCCAGCCCGCCCGGAGCCCATTGCACACAGGCGCCCAGTGTGCACGACAGCTTGTTAACCACAGGGGCTCCTTTCTGGACCCAGCTGGACAAGCAAGAGCACTCCGGAACGCGTGTTTGGTCAGAGCAATACTGTACCAAAACCGGCCGTGTGCACGGTTGAAGGGGCGAAAAAGATGCGCGTGGGGCAGGATGTGCACGTGGACTGACAGGTGCAGCAGCCCGCTGCGAGCAGGCCTGCTGGCAACACTACGTCACGACCGAAGCTGCATCGAGCCAAGCTGCTGGTCACTGCTCGCCACGTTGTGCCCCGTCTGTTTCAAAATCAAGATAAACTGCTGAGAAGGTAGCGTGCGTTCTTTGTTCTGCTGTGCTGTGAACCTGTCCAAGGGAACCAGTCAGATATGTATTCAATGATTCAGCCATAGGGCCGCGTTTCTCCCAGATATGCTACCCCACTCTTCCCTGCACACCCCTCTCTCTTTGCTTGGAGAAGTACTTCACGCATCGATTGAAGAGCTCCTCGTTTGCCCACTAGCTTTTCGGAAAGGATTTACATCACAGTCCTGGCAGATGAGTCAACTCAGACTGTTATGCCACATGATTTTGTTGCAAACGAGTGGAGGCAGGCGTGCAGTTGCAGTGGACCTAGGGATGAAACTGCAGTAGCGTCGGACATGCGGTGGGCATGGGGCTCAGCGGCGCATGGTGATACGCCGCAGCCGTCAGGGCTCGGGCTGGTGCCCTCCGTGTGCTGTGGTAATCACATCACAGCGTGCCGGATACCTGTTGGGGTGAGGTTTTCTGTCTATGAGGATGGTTCGCAGCGAGGACCCTTGGGCAGTGGGACCTCGTCGGGCTGGATGGCAGTGGGGGCGGTACTTGCAGGGGATCTTCCTCCCTGCAAGCGCGGTGCAATCCGTCTGCAGCGGCTGCATGGGTAGCGGGTAAGGATCGGTGGGGTGATTGTTGTAATTCTTTTTGGATTTATAATTAGAGGCTTGGGGAGCTGCAATCAGTAACAGAGGCTGAAGCTGCGGATCAAGGGTGCGTGCGCCCTCTAACCCAACCAGCTTCCAAGGGGTTTGATCGGTGCTACCTCGTTACTCAGAGTCTGAGGCTATAATACTTTCTTAAAACAACTTCACTACCCGATGATGAACCAGTGTTGACGAACGGTGGGCGGTGTCCGGTGGTGGGAAGTGACTCATGAACGCCACACTTTTGACCTCCGACAACACGCATGAGTGAGCGCGGAAGAAATTCGTGCGTCTGATAGAAGATTGCTGTACAGGACATAGTTCAATTGGTTCACTATTGGGACCTCGCCGTCTGATCTCGCCCATCAATGCAAACCTCTGCGCTTTTGCGACTCAAGCGACCGGTAGCCAACCCTAACGCTCGTGTCACATCATCCGCCTTGCTCAGCACCACCCGCCCACGCCCTGTTGCGGCCAGCGCAATGGCGTCCCAGGCCAGCACCGGCGGTACCAGGGAGCTGCAGTTCTGGGTCGCCGACGCTTTCACGCCCGCGGCCTTCGCGGGCAATCAGGCGGCAGTGTACTGCCTGGCTGATGAGGCGGTGATAACCGACGCCCAGCGGCAGAGGATCGCGGCGGAGCACAACCTATCCGAGACGGCCTACGTCACCCTCCCGGTGCGCGGCCGCACGACAGGCGCGGCCGTGGGGCGCGGGACGCCTTGCGTGCTGGGCGGTGCCACCGCCAATCCCACACGGGACGCGCCTGACTCCGCACACTCCCTGGTGGACCTTGTTGTTGCCCGCTGTCGCTGCGGGCCTATTCTAGATATCTCGTCTGGCAACGCAGGAAACATACCCCCCCCCCCTCCCAAACACGCATAATGAAAACCCGCGTATCCAATCACACGCCCGCCCGCGCCGCCGCGCAGCCCGGCGCGGACGCAGGCGGCGGCCTCGACGCGTTCAAGACGGGGGACACGTTCGGCCTGCGGTGGTTCACGCCCGCGGCTGAGGTGCCCCTCTGCGGCCACGCAACGCTCGCGTCCGCCCACGTCCTGTTTTCAGGTGGGGGGCAGGCGCGCGTGCAGGGAAATCGCACACCTCATCGCGCCAATCCAGCACGATCACATTGCAACAGTATCGCCCCAAATTGCATCAAGGAAGCCCTCTTATTATGGCGCTGCACGATGCGACGCGGGGAACGGAGGCACCCGCGCGCCCTGCCAGGCGCGATCGTCGCACACATGCCACCCCGGCCCTCTTCCCTCCGCAGCAGCGGCCCCTGCCGCCACCCCTCCCGGCACCATGAGCCCCACTAAAACTCGCCCGCGCCTGCACCCGCATTCCGTCTCAGAGGTTGGCAACACGAGCGAGGCCCTATATTTCGACACCCTCTCCGGCCGCCTCACCGTCCGCCGCGCCGCCGGCGCCGACGGCGGCGTGCGCATAGAGATGGGCCTCCCCTGGGCAGACGCCCGCGACCCGCTGCCCGCCGGCCTCGGCGACGCCGCCGCCGCCGGCGGCGGCGACGCGGACGCGCGCCAACAGGCGCTCGGCTCCCTTGTCGCGACCGCCACGGGCGGGCTGGGGACGGCGGAGCCCGTGGGGTTCACCAAGGGGATGGACTACTTTCTGTTTGTACTGCCGGAGGGGACGACGCGGGCCCAGCTGGAGGCGATACGCCCGGATTTCGGGGCGATGGTCGCGGCCGTGGGCGAGGGCGCGGCGCGCGGCGCGATCGTGACGGCGCGTGGGGGTGAGCGCGGCGCTGGGATCCGGCCTCGCGCGCATGCTGCCGCGCGCCGGCGCACCCACAGGCAGGGAGACATGCGCGAGCGAGCGGAGCCGCTGCTTAGTTGGGGCAGGCGGCATGGGGTAACCCGCCACCGACAAAGCTGCTGCCGGCCGTCGGCGCCTGCCCCCTCCCTTGCTCTTGCAAACCCCGCTCGCAGCTGCGCCAACCATCTCCCTGCCACCCCCTTTCCCCCTCCCCCTCACAAAACGCTCCCGATTCTAGATGGTGGCGACGACTACGACTTCTACTGCCGATTCTTTGGCCCCTGGGTGTCCATTGATGAGGACCCCGCCACTGGTGAGGCGGGCGCACGGCCGCACGCCACCCAAACCGCCTTCACCCTGCCTGGCTGTCATGGGTAGTGTGGGAGCTGGGGGCTTGCACCGCATGCGTGAATGTGCCTTGCCCCACATCCAGCACGGGGCAGTCTGGCCGCGGCAGGCCAGAGACAGTAGGCCTACTGCGTTGCTCGGGTGTGTGTGTGCGGCTGGACCCTTGTCCACGCGAGCGTGTGCAAGGGTGCGACGAGCGCTTGCGCCCCTCGCGCCCGCGGCCCGCCCAACCCTGCCAGGCTCCGCCTTCTGCGTGCTGGGCCCCTACTGGGCCCCCAAGCTGGGGAAGACCCAGTTCAAGGCGCGGCAGGTGCGTCTGTTTTTCGACGCCTGTCTTGAGGCCATGCCGACAGCCCCAGCGGCTGACCAGGGTTTTTGGTTCAACGCTGGGGCCCGGCCCTCGAGTCTCTTCGACCCGGCAGGCAGCCAGGGATGTTTCGTGAGTGCACCCTCCTCCTTTGGTCGCCGTGCGTGACCGCACAGCACGCAGAGATCCGCCTGCGCAGCTGCACTCTCACATGTGACGACAGGTGCCCCCCTTACCCCCAGTCACTCGACCCCCTCCCCCGCTGCAGTGCTCCCCGCGGGGCGCTGACGTGGCGGTGCGGCTGGATTCTGAGGCGCGGCGCGTGTACGTGTCGGGGCAGGGCGTCACTACGATGAAGGGAACGCTGCTGCTGCCTCCGCAGTAGGAGCCCCAAATGGTGCTCGAATCTGGGCTTCAGGTTTGAGCACCATCTTGACCCATCACATCTGAGCAACAAGCAAGGTTGCCGATTGCACCATTGAAGATCAAGGTTTGCAAGCCTCACCCACCTGCATGCCCACTGCTGCGTGCCTGCTGGTAGTTGCCGCTTATGGATTTTTTCCCCGTGCACCACACTGTACATGATTTGTATGCGATTTATGCGCGTGCCGAACACCCTGGCTGCAAGTGCACAGCTGCAATTCAGCACCAGCCAAGTCTGTTCGGGCCCGCTGCGGGCGGCGTCGGCAGCGATTTGCGACTGGGTCGGCTTTGATGAGAACACACTGTAACAAACGCATATGTTCGGGTTTGGCACACAAAGTGTTGCCAGCAGTACGCCCACTGCAGGAGGGCGGGGTGCAGGGTTGCTCAGGCTGGGCTCGGGCGACTCTGTGCAGCACTGTCGGAGATGGGGCGGGGTTGCCAGGGGTGTCTGGACGATGGGGCTGGGGCGGGCAC